CCCACCGCCTTTTATTCATTGTGTATATATTCATTTATACTGAATTTTGGACTTGTAAATTCCTTGTGTGCTACCTGTGTTCCAGGTGTTGTTGCAGGAGGACCAGGGCAGGTCCCAGGAGAAGGAGAAGGACAGGTAGAAGATTCCCCAGGCCAGGACCACGATGTAGTAGAAGTTCAGCAGGGTGACGATCACCTGGGTGCCGTAACCCAGACCTGCAAACGGAGGGCAGCGTCAGCACACCTGGCCACGCCCACCTGGCCCTGGCCCCGCCCACCTGGCCCTAGCCCCGCCCACCTGGCACTGGCCCCGCCCACCTGGCCCTGGCTCCAGGCCCGTGCAGAGGGGGGTGCTAAGGGGGCTTGAGCACCTGCCCCTTTTGCTCCATGATCCCAATGTGCCCTTTTGGTCCTTTTTTTTTTCTTTTTTTTTTTCTTTTAATTTGAATTTTTTTGATTTGACACATGTACTAAAATTGTTATTATCATCTTTTTTTTTTTTTTTGCAATAAAAACAACACAATAAGCCCTCTGGTCACACTAAAAGGTTGCATTGTGCCCTTGTATGCATTTTTAACAGTTTAATTATGCAAAGACAAAATATGTCTGGTGGTCCAGCTCTGATTGACATATTTTGCTAAATTGCAGGTTTGAGTATTGTAATACTTTCCTAAAATAAAATAGACCTGCAGAAAGAAATTACTAATAAAATATTTTACATATGCACCGTTCTATGTTCTATGTAGAGATTTTCCTTAGCTGATTGTATGTCTCACAATTTTGTAATTTATCATTGTTCATTAAACTCTGAAATCTATGTGACTTTGTTAATATTCTGTCCTAAAATGTGATTAGATGTGCCCTTTTTTTTTTTTAGTACCTGCCCCTTTAGTGGTTTCTGCACAGCCCTGCCTGGCCCCGCCTACCTGGCCGTACTGGCCCCGCCCACTTGGCAATGGCCCCGCCCACATGGCCCTGGCCCCGCCCACTCACTTTCATACAGCATTAAAATCTAATTTCATACAAATCTAATTTTATACAACACCAAAACACATCCATATACAAAATCAAAATCCACATTCTATACAGCACTAACCTTAAAACACCAAAAAATACTTAACCCCCTTCCCTCCCCTTCACCCTAACCCTAACCAACACAAAACCATTTAAGCACTAAAATTAAACAATGCCAAACACCCATCCCACACACTTCAACACATACTAAACACACACTCAACACACGAAAAAATACATTTCCAACCGAAAACCAAATAACTCACATTCCCTAAACAAAAACAAAACCACAAAAAAAAAAAAACTTAAACACTCTCAACCACCACTCCTACTCACAACCACAAAACCTACAAAAGAAACAACAAAACTAGAAAAAGTTGAGAAACCC